CGGGCCTCTCACTGTTGTGGCCTCTCCCATTGCGGAGCACAGGCTCTGGACGCACAGGCTCAGCGGCCATGGCTCACGGGCCCAGCCGCTCCGCAGCATGTGGGGTCTTCCCGGACCGGGGCACGAACCCGTGTCTCCTGCACCGGCAGGCGGACTCTCAACCACTGCGCCACCAGGGAAGCCCGGCAGGCAGATTCTTAACCACTGAGTCACCAGGAAAGTCCCTGGTGTGATTTTAAAAGGTAGTTTTTTTTACATTCCCTTTCTGATATCTCATTGTTAATGTAAAGAAATGCAACCAATTTCTGTATGTTAATCTTGTATACCAACCTTTGCCAGGTATGAAGTGTTAGTGTTTGGTTTCTCTCAGTTCTAGGGAAGATGTCTTTACTGCTTTGCTCTGCCACAGCTAAGGATAGGTGGATATGGAAGTCACCAGTAAAAATGCAGGAAAGAAGCTGCATTGACCCTTAATAATGCCTGTGTTTCTTCCTTTCCTTTGCAGAACAGAGAGTAGAAGATGTCCGACTTATCCGAGAGCAGCACCCTACCAAAATCCCGGTAGGTGGTCTCTGTTTCAGCTGTTATTGATGGACATGGAAGAGAGCACGGCTTAAATACAACTTTAGTACAGTGCTGCTATGTGCGACTGACTGACGGGATTCTTTTTTTAATTTATATTTATTTATTTTTAATTTGTTTATTTATTTATTTTTGGCTGCATTGGGTCTTCGTTGCTGCACGCAGGCTTTCTCTAGCTGCGGTGAGGGGGGCGCTGCTCTTCGTTGAGGTGTGCGGGCTTCTCATGCGGTGGCTTCTCTTGTTGTGGAGCACAGGCGCTAGGCACACAGGCTCAGTAGTTGTGGTGCATGGGCTTAGTTGCTCCGTGGCATGTGGGATCTTCCTGGACCGGGGATCAAACCAGTGTCCCCTGCATTGGCAGGCAGATTCTTAACCACTGCACCACCAGGGAAGTCCCTACCTGATGGGTTTCTATAGGAATCCTCAGCTATGCAACTGGTGTGTCAGTTTCATGACCTAGAATGGAGATACCTTAATCTACAGTTTAATCTAATCACATCCTGTTTCCTCCTGAGTTTACTGTGTTAATGTTACACACTTCACAAATCAAGGGTATTTTACTTGCGGGGAAAGGGATACAGGGGCTAGATCTGTTTGTATTTTATCAGTGAAAGTTGGTATCCACCCTCTTTTGAAGCAAACAGAGACTACTGCTGTGGGAAAATCAGTAGCTCTCAAGATTTAAATGTGACTGCGCATTCCAGGCTGCTGGCTTTGATGCCCCAGAGAAAGAAGTCTCTCCTTACATTTTATTTCTTTGCAGGAGATTGAGGAAAGATGCTGCTCCTGTCATGTGTAGGGACCTCAGATGCTTATTGCTCTGCCCAGCCAACAGTGTCCTGTGTGCCCTGGATCCTTTGGTGGTGGACCTTAAATAGGTTTCTGCTGAGGCACTAGGTCTAGAGAGAAATGGTCAAGGAGCTTTTGGCTTCAGACAGTGGCTGGGTTCAGGCCTTAGGTTGAAGGTTACTAAGTGATCTTGGGCTAATTACTAAAATTCTGAGAGGAGCTGCCATATCCTCATCTGTAAAATGGGAAGAGAATCCACCCGTGTGGTTGGAAAATTTTGCATAATTCTGGGGACATGATTGTTACCTCTTAACACTTCCAAAGAAACTCCACTGCTAAATTCTGCAGAAGTTTTCATGGTTGGCTTTCTGATTGATCATCTCATACAAAAGTGGGGGAAAAGAAGATGAGAAGATCTGTGGGGCTGGGGTTGTGAGGTGCACAGAAGGGAGAATAGGATGGGTATTCTCAGCAGTGTCATGACTGTAGGATTCTGTAGTTAGAAGATATGTTTCTTGGACTGGTCGGAAATTTCAGTCTGTCTTCACACTCAGGGCCAACATATGGCCTGGGGATGAGGCTTCTGGGTAATTTCCTTAATTTCAAGCTTTTTCTTCACTCTTGAGTACCTGCTGTGTCTCTTTGCTAGCAGTACTCGTCAGTCACTGGAAACAAATAGCCAGCCCAACAGTCTGCCAGTATTTGTTCCATAGCCTCCTTCTGAAATGTGGATATCTGTGTATATCTACAGTCATCTTTTCTGCTGGTAGTTTTAGGTGTTTTACAGAAGTCACATTCATACTTGTAGATACCATGTTCTGAACACACCTCAGAGATAAAGCTATTGATCTTACCAAGGAGGGTGGCGACAGCTTGACTCGGCCTTACAGAACCTCATGTAGGCGCCATGCAGTGCAACCACGTACATATAAGCATTCTTCCCTCTTCTGAAGATTTTCCATTCCTGTCTTACAACTTCTCATTGTCATGACAGGGTAAAGAATTGCTATATGTGGGGCTTCCCTGGTGGCGCAGCGGTTGAGAGTCCGCCTGCCGATGCAGGGGACACGGGTTCGTGCCCCGGCCCGGGAAGATCCCACATGCCGCGGAGCGGCTGGGCCCGTGAGCCATGGCCGCTGAGCCTGCGCGTCCGGAGCCTGTGCGTCCGGAGCCTGTGTCCGCACCTGGAGAGGCCACAGCAGTGAGAGGCCCGCGCACCGCAAAAAAAAAAAACAGAAAAGGAATTGCTGTATGTGGAGAAGGGTGTCTCTGGTGCTCAGTAAATAGGTAGTACTGAGGCTCAACGGCAGTCACCAGTTTGCTGTCAGAGCCTAAAGTGGCTTAGAACTAGAAAAAATTTTTTGCTTTATGGAAAGGAGGAAGTATGGCAAGGAGCTAATGGATTTATTTCAAGTCATAATGTGGAACTGTTTTTGTTCCCTGCATAGTTCATCAAGGATCTTTTATCAGAATGGCAGGATCTTCGAGACTTCTGCAAAAAAAAAAAAGTATCTCCAGACCAGCTAATCATGGTCTCTGCTTCTCAAATATTTACTTAGGATTTGAGTCTATTACCAGAGTTAAGATCTTACTTACACTTTTAATAAAAGTTTTATTAAAAGACTCTTGTCACAGGAAATGGTGATAGTAGAATCGGCATAGATTCCGATCTTTACACTTAAAGCTGGTGCCCAGCGTCTCTGCTGTTATAAGGCTTGGGGTCTTTTCCTGACTAGGTAGTATATTTTCACGGTTCCAAATAACAGAATTTATAGCAAAGTTTCTTTCCCCACCTCAGGGCTACCTTGCCCCCCCCCCCCCGATGGCAGCCACGTTGTCTTGTGCACCATATTTCATAAGGAACGAAAGTGCTGTTTTAAACCCCATTTTGGCATGTGCCAGCTACAACATAGGAAGGATTTTATCGGTTTTTCTTTGTTAACGGCTATTTTTAAATCACTTTTCTGGCTTCTTTTCTAGGTAATAATAGAACGATACAAAGGTGAGAAGCAGCTTCCAGTCCTGGATAAAACAAAGTTCCTGGTGCCTGATCATGTCAACATGAGTGAGCTCATCAAGATAATTAGGTTTTTAATCATCTTTTTACTTTATTTCTTTGGGTAACTTCTCATTCTTTATCAGGCTTACAGATAAATCTTCAGTCTAGCTCTGATAAAAATCTATGCAACTTAATAATACTGTAAGATATTTCATTTCTGAGTTTTTCTGTTTCTTACCTGCTGGATCTCAAGTCCCTTCTGATCCTTTCATCATAACATCTAAGTAGATGTCTCTTAATCAGAAAAGTTTTATATAGGAAAATAAGAGAATGTAGACGTGGTCCAATGGTAATAAATTGCATCAGCTTAGATCTTAGATTGTAAATAATATTTTGAACTATTTTTATCACATTAGACACTGGTGGCTACTCAGATAGCATATTAGTTTTAAAACTGGCCTCAGGACTTCCCTGGTGGCGCAGTGGTTAAGAATCCGCCTGCCACTGCAGGGGACACGGGTTCAAGCCCTGGTCCGGGAAGATCCCACATGCCGCGGAGCAACTAAGCCCGTTCACCACAACTACTGAGCCCGCGCTGTGGAGCCCACGAGCCACAACTACTGAAGCCCGCGCGCCTAGAGCCCGTGCTCCGCAACAAGAGAAGCCACCGCAATGAGAAGCCCTGCGCACCACAACAAAGACCCAACGCAGCCAAAAACAAATAAATAATTAATTAACAAAATAAGTAAGTAAAACTGGCCTCAGGAAAGTAGTGAGAATGATCTAGCAAGGATTATCATTAATACTTACCATGCATATAGTTGTAGAAAACATCCTGTGTTTTATGAGAAGAAATATTCAAGTCATCGTCAGTAAGGCATATATTTCAGTTTGCCAGAAGCAGCGTTTACAAAATCTCTATACTTTTTTTTGGTTCTTTTTTTTTTGCGGTACGCGGGCCTCTCACTGCTGTGGCCTCTCCCGTTGCGGAGCACAGGCTCCGGACGCGCAGGCTCCGCGGCCATGGCTCACGGGCCCAGCCGCTCCACGGCATGTGGGGTCTTCCCGGACCGGGGCACAAACCCGTGTCCCCTGCATCGGCAGGCGGACTCTCAACCACTGCGCCACCAGGGAAGCCCAAAATCTTTATACTTTTATATTGATCCAGGGTGGGTGATATTTTTTGCACCTTCTCCCTAGGTATTGATGTATCAATTATTTCTTCACGTTTTCTTTCAACAGAAGGCGCTTACAGCTCAACGCTAATCAAGCCTTCTTCCTGTTAGTGAATGGACATAGCATGGTGAGTGTGTCCACGCCAATTTGTGAAGTGTATGAAAGCGAGAAGGACGAAGATGGATTCCTGTATATGGTATACGCCTCTCAGGAGACTTTTGGAATGAAATTGTCTGTGTAAGACTAAAAAAACAATGTGTCTGTTCTAGAATTTAAACCCTTACCAAGGAATAAAAAAGGGATGTTACCAACTGAGATTGATCAGTTCACCTAATCACAGATCATCAAAACAGTAGTAGTGTTCCTGGCTAGGAGCTTTTAGGAAGTTGTTTTTTTATACTTCAGGCAGAAAAACTGAGCTCCAAATGAGCACATTCAGCTTTGGGAAACTTCATTATTTAACCCAGGCTGTCTTGTTTTCAGATTTAGAAGTTTAAAAATAAAATACTTTGCATTCTAAGTTGCCAATAAAATAGACCTTCAAGTTATTTTAATGTTTTTCCCCCAAAAGGAACTTGCAATTTGAGCATTCAGCGAGCCATTCAGTCTTCTCTCTAGGTTCACAGAACCTGCCAGCTTTTTATAGAAGGGTTTCTACTCAACTAGAGAAATCTCCTTAAGAGGATCTTTACGCCTAAATTGTCAGGCATAGCCAACCCCCACCCCCAGCCCATTTGCCATAATAGCTGGCAGAAAGCAGGGTGGACGCGGGTGTATAGGAAAGAAGAAAGCTGAGCTGCTTGCTGTCTGGGGTTCCTGATTGCTAATAAGCGTATTTCACGTCAGTGCTCTTGTCACAAAGTTTTCATTTGGTTTGTTCTCTAGGCAGTAACGCAGAAAAATACCACTGCTCAACAGGAACCTTGAATAATTTATAATTTTGGTCAAGTTTCTCAAAAGACCTAGAGAAAGAGAATGACATTTTTTTGTTTGTTTTGAATATTCTCTTAAGAGCTCAAAATAGTGCCTGCTGTGGTAAATAAACAAGCAGTTACATGGGTTTCATTCTTTGGGACAAAGGTAGAAAAAGCTACAGGATACTGAAACAGAAGCATTAAAATTCAGATACACTTCCTCGACCCTTTGGCTTAAAGCTGTAGATGATCCGTGTTTTATGTTATGTGTGTGACTAAAGTATGTTATCAAAAAGCATCTGTAAGGGTATTTCAGTTATCACCGTTAGGTCAGGCAGTCCTCAGAATTCCCCCACTCCACGTGCATATGTCAGTTTTGAAAACAGCAAAAGGAAACATGCTCTTCACAGATGTTAATGTCAAACGTTAAGCATTTTCCAAGTCCAACTAGAATAAATAACCAGTGCTTCCTACTACCTGCATGGGGTTCACTGTGTACTACTTTTGTGAGAGCCATCACAGAAGGATCACAGACCCACTTGAGACTGTACATGTGGCAGGTCACCATTTATTTACCCTTGTGTATTTAGATGTGTGTGGAAAACTTGTATCTGTTAGTGGCAGTTATTTATTGTAACTGAGGAAGAAAAAGCAATATTACTGCATATGGGCCCTCAACCCCAATCAACTACTCTTCCCGATGCATGCCTCTGTCCACGTGGCTAACTTTTAACATGTATATTTTTACATTATGTAAATTCTTAATTAGCCTGTCTTGTTTAGATTGTATACACCATTATATCTGACATTCTTGTAACTACTATGTGACCGATAAGATTCCTTTAAGAAACTATGCTGTTTAAAGACAAGAGTACCATGCTGAGAGGGGTGACTTACTTATATCCCACATTAGTGGGTGGTTACCCTATTTATAGGCTCTTTAAAACAAGTACATTTTTAACGAACTAAGGTGAATAAAGGCACAACTAAAAACTGTCATCAAAGTTCAGTTTAATGGATTAGCGTTTGAGACTTGCAGTCTTTGCCATCCAAAGCCAAGTGGGTCATATCCTTTCTAATGAGGAGTGCCGAGGCTGGTATCGCTGTGCCAGAGTGGAGGGACACCCACCTCTGAATGTCTCTGCCTTGTCATAAGCGCCTTGCTGGCACTGGTCAAGGTCCTGCCTTCAAAAAACTCAATTCTCTTAAAGGTACAGATGTGCCACAAAGTATGGGGAGAAGGGATGGGGGAGCGACCTAGGTGTTTTGTGGGAACAGGCACTTGAAAACCTGATCTAAATGAACGAAAGTGTAACACGAAAAAAGTACTGAGTGTGTGTGGGGCGTTGTGCGGCACATGGTACCTGAGGTGGCCGTGCGGGGAGCCGCGTACAGTACAAACAGCAGATGCGCACATGCCCTCCACCCTCAGAGGCCCTGGAAGTGACCAGAGGGGCTGCTAGCAGGTGCTAGCAGGCCAGCTGTGTCGCCTGACGCTACTTACCTGACAGGGGCCCTGACTAGTCCGAGAACCGTGTGCACGTTTTCCTCCGGGCAACCACAGGTCTGACGACAAGACCCAAGAGAAAATGGGGACTCCTGCTGGGGAAAAAGCCCCAGAATTCTCCCTCTGGGGCCTGGCACTGCTCAGGACAGCACCGCAGTCCTGGGCGAGCACAGCACCAGCCCAGGTCCAGAGAGGACGTGGCCTCAGGCGGCAGGGCACATTCATCATGAGTTTGGAAACGTCCAAAGGATACTTGATCTAGTAATGCCAATAACCTTGATTGTTCATGGGTACCTGAGAGCTGCAACATCTTTAATCCAACCCCAAATCAATTCACATTTCTATTCACAGCAAGGACATTTTTTAAACACCTAGGAAACCTGATTGATAGAAAATGGATTTAAGACCAGGTGTCCCTTTTGCAATGCTGGGAAGAAGGCGGAAAGGACAGACTCCCTGGTTTGGAGGACCGTGATGTGAAAGGCTGTGTGCTTCAATACTCTGTGAGACACAGGCCTAATAAAAAGAAACTGCCCTGTTTTTTTTTTAATTTTTATTTTCAGTACATTAAATTGACTCATAAAAACATTCTAAAAATGTACAATTTTTCCTTTTTAACAAAGTATAATAAAACATAAAAACCCCCAAAACAGAATACTTGACATTTACAATTCAAAATCAAATTAGCAGAATATTAAATATTTACAAAACTATATCTTTTAAAAATATTTATAAAGTTACATGCAATTTTGTAGAATTGACATAAAAGAATGGCTCAAAAATGGGAGAATTTTCCTTCATTCCTAAAAAGAAAATATGTCCAACAGAAGCTGTGAAGGTTCTTGAGTACACGAGGTCTTCAGTTTCAGTACCAAAGCCTGTCTTTGTGCATCTAAGAACTTTACGCATGTGAGGGGCTTCTTAACACCGGGGTGACCTGGCAAGGTGCACCCCTCCCTCCAATAACAGTGTAGTAACATTGACCTTTGGCCTCAACCAGCACAGTACGTAGTTTGCGACTGTTGATTAAAGATAACTCACTTTGATTCAGAACCTCGGGGCTTTTCAGTAATGGAGCCTCTTCAGAACCCATGGCTTTAAATGTCCCCTGCCTCATTCACTGGGAGTCATCTGCACTTTGGAAAGGACGGCCAACCCGCTCAGGTTCCACAGGCCCATCCACTGGGACGGGTGGTCGAGCTGAGCCAGGGTCAGGGTTTCCCTTGCAACCTGTAAGACTTCAACACGTAACGCCATCAGTTATCAGTGTGTAAAACTAGCAAGGCATCAAATAAGCCACCACGGAAGCAGGAGGAGTGACGACGACAGGGAGCGAGGAGGGCGCGGCCCACTTCCTGCTCAGCAAGTGCTCACTAGCAACACTGCAGTGAGTGGACAGATGCAAGCCTCGGTCAGCCTGTGCTCAAACAGGAACGCATTACAGCTGCATAACGTCAGGCAAAGTTACTACCCGCTACGCATCTCCTCCATACGTAGTGTGCCGTGTAAACTAGCTAGGTGGACTTCTTGCGATAAAGGACCTAGGATTCTAAATAGTGAATTAAAATACTGAACCTACTAACTACTGTATTAACAAGCTGACTCGTGTAGTTTTTTGGAGATTATAAATGATGCTGGTTTTTTAAAATACCCCATCACATGTCTGCTTTCAAGAAAATAGCTTTTTCTTTATTATTCTAAGTGCTAGCTCCCATTTTCTCAGTGCTCTTTAGCAATTAGAAGTTTTTAACATTTATACACTTTCCAATGTTCAATATAATCATAAAATAAAAATTAGAAAATAAGGTAGAAAATTGAGTGTTCTGCTTTAAAAAAAAAAAAAAAAAAAAAGATTAGTGTTTTATCCCAACGTTGTATTCTACCTCAATCTGTACATTCCACTTTCCCCATTCTTGGAGATAAAAAACGGGGTTCGAAACTTTAAAATATGACAGACTACACGGAGCAAAGTGGCTGGTGCCACACCTACCTGGTTGCCACAGCATTTGGAAACTGAGCCCACAATTTCAGGAAAATAAGTAGTTGAAAGGGTCAGTCTGATCTGGGTTTCTAGCTGATGAGGACGTCCTCTGAGGAAATGCCCAGTGCTCTTTAGGCTCACTGGCTGTGGTTGCTTCTGGAGAGAAATTTCATCCGAGAATATACTGCTAGCAAATACTCCCAAGTGCAGGTATGGGATTCACTTGGGAAGAGGTCTCACGGAGCGGCAGCTGAATGCTTTGTGTCGTGGTGTCCCACGTTTACGTTTTACCATTCTCAACTCGGAATGGCCTCACCGGAGACGTCACTCTGCACGTGCACTTTCAAAGACAGCTGGAAGTTTCCCTAAGACCTCTGATGACTGGAACACAGCCACACAATGTCTGAACTTACTTCCCTCAATTTGAATGTCATACGTCAAATTGAAGTTCGTTTTAATTTTTTGTCGTATTTAACGCTAACCTCTAATATTTATCAAAACAGTTACAAGGGTAAGAACAGACACACTTTCATTCCCCAATACTGACCACTAAAACAAAAAACCTAAATATGATTTTTTTCTTTTGTTGTGAGACAGTTTTCAACAATTTCACTGTGTTGAAATAGGATTTATTTAAAATAGTTCTTTGTTTAAAAAACCAAAAGTTTTAAAAGTTTGGCTTTCAGCACATATCCAGGCCACTGTAACGGCCTTCAGAAATATTAAAATCGTAAACATCAATGAACACTTTAAGTCCTCCTTAAACATAATATGACAAGTTCCAGTCTAGTACTCTTTAAGGCAAAGTTGTGTCAGTTCTCGTAATTTTGACATTTTGTAGTGTTTATAATTTAAGAGATCAATGTAACATTTCCCCAAAATGCTGTTGTAAGCATCATCATTACTTCAAAACTGTATGTAATACTGTGTACCAGGAAGAGAGAGAATAATACAGAGGTCTGTCAATTCTGCATTGCATAGAAATAAAACTCTACTAAAATAAAACTCTTAAAAACTCTACTAAAAGCCTTTCATTAAAAAAATGTAACAACTTTCTGCTTTAGCTTCCACGAAGCAGGAAACTGATCTCAAAATTTGAAGCCTTACATCACAATGCCTCAAATTCTAGGGTATTCTTTTGATTTACACCAATTTTACATGAGGCTGATTGTCCCATTTTAAGAGTGGTCTGAGTATTGTGATTTTCTTTTTTTAAATAAATATTCCACTGGAAAATCCCTGGGCAAGACCTTACCAATCAATATTTTAATATTGAAGGCTTTAGCATTTAAAACAATATTGTTTGAGCAGAAAATTCCCTTTAGCCTGGAAGCTTTAAGTCCCTAACTTTCAGACCAGAAGCTCTCATTGCAATGGGGTGAAATTGAGAGCTGTGTGGTGGACTTTATTTCCCACCTTGGTAAAACTAGACTTCTGCAGATCTCGTAGCTCTGTCCTGCCAGTGTATTCTCTTTCAGAGTCTTACCACTTTCTATTGTAGTTTTCCAGGTAATTTTTAACAGAACTAACTATTGATACACAGCCTAATACAAAAGAAGTTGACAGGAGAAAATTTCAAATCGTTTGCTCAGAGATTATAGGACTGTATTATTGTTGTTGAAATGTCTGTCTCAAGTGTGAATCCATTAGCAGTGAGCCTTGGGGTCCTTGGGAAGTCCATGGGAGATAAAAGAACTCGCAAACTTGGCTAAGGATGTGCAGCATCCATCAGTGCCGCTCACGAGGTGTGCTGCTATCGCGTCTCTGCCAGAGTTCCTTCGTGGTGGAAGACGACAGGACTCAAAGCTCGGAAGGGCTGGGAAGGAAGGTGTCCTCAAAGCTTTGACTACTAGGGATTCTCTGGGACTTGGACCCTTTTAGAAATTAAGTTGTTGCAAGTAACTATTTCTATTTAATAATGTAGTTTAAATTTATTTGCAGGAAAACAAAACAAAACAAAACAAAACCCTGAAACTGCTACAAGTGCTTTTAAGGAGGGAAGGAGATACTAAAATCTCCGTTGTGTACTAAATCATGTAGCCTGCTGGTGCGGACTCTAAGAACGGATTCTCTGAGCGTCTTGCACTGACTGGTCTCAGGAAGTTTGTCTCCCAGAACTGCAGAGATGGACATCGGTTTACATTCTTCGGTAGTGCAATCCTTAAAAAGCCCAGAGATTAGTGCCTAACCACTTTAAGAACGAAACAGAACAGAACAGAACAAAACAAAGGCGACATTTTCCCTCACCAGGGGTGTCAAGAGTCCGACTGGTAGAACTCCACTTGGAGAACTCCGACCTTCAGTTCTCGATTCCAACCTCACGTAGCTGCCCTGGAATTACGTGTGAGCCTAGAAGGACCAATTACGGCAATGCTCTTCAGGAGACGGGAGGTCTCTGCATTGCAACCAAGGGTGGAGGTGGCCAACTTTCACCCACAGTGGAGATACCCACTAGGCCAGTCCTGACATCAAGCTCCCGTCTAGGATTTTGGCAATAAAACTGAGTTTGATGCATTCCTACGCTAGGTTTTCTATCCAGTCTAGTAAAGTAAAGCACCTTTGGATTAAAAATATTGAGCTCAACAGCAACTAGACTTCTCAGTTTTGTATTTAATTTTCCTTAGGTCTCCATGGCTTAATAGTGTTCTGTTGCCAGAGAAAAATATCAATCTGTGGAGTCCAGACTTTCTGCTGGAGGGGCATATTTCAACCTAAAAGTACCTAGAGAGGGGGAAAAAAGAGAGATCAAATTTGAATCACCATAGAATTACTGCCATGATCTGTCCAAAGTTATTTCCAGAGCCACTGGTCAAGATCTGGGTGCCGGAAATCCAGACCACCTGTTCTGACCACTCCCAGCTCCCCTGGCTCCACCCCGCAAACTGGACGTTATCTTAACAAGTTTATCCAATCAGAGAAGGGGTGAAAAAGACTGAGGAGTTCCCAGTCTGTTTCTTCATTCTTTGGGAGCTCAGACAGCACAGAATTGGCCCCCTTCCTTGGGACAGGGCAAGGGAGGCCTGGCCGCCACCACAGGCCTCTGGGCTCGCTGCGTCAGGAGATGCAGCACCACCTCTATCAACTGGGGGGGGGGGGGGGGGGCC